TTGCTAAATTCTCCCAATATTGCTGAATCCCCCCTACCGTGCTTAAGAACCCCTGCCTTGCAAAATCCCCCCCTCCTTGCTTAATCAACCCTACCTTGCTGAATCCCCCCTTCCTTGTTGAATCAATCCTACCTTGCTGAATCCCCCCTACCTTGCTGAATCCCCCCCACCTTGATTAATCACCACTACCGTGCTGAATTCCCACCCCCTTGCTGAATTCCCTCTTCCTTGCTTAATCACCCCTACCAAGATTAATCACTTGCTTAGTCACGGCTACATTGCTGAATCCCTCCTAAATTGCTCAATCCCGCCTACCTTGTTGAACCCCCCCTTCCTTGCTGAATCATCCCTACCTTGCTTGATCATCCCTAAATTGCTCGATTCCCCCTATCTCGTTGAATCTCCCCTATCTTGCTGAGTTCTCTTTATCTTGCTGAATCCCCTCTCCCATTCTAAATCACCCCTACCTTTTTAAGTCATCCCTGCCTTGCTGAATTCCCTCTATGCTTCTTAATCAATCCTACCTTGCTTACTCACCCCTACCTTGCTTTTTTCGACTTCCTTGCTGAATTCCCCCTACCTTGTTCAATCACTCCTACCTTGCCTGATGACCCCTACCTTGACTAATCATCCCTACATTGATTAATTACCTGAAAATGAGAGATTTCCCTATATCCTGCTGAATCACCCCTACCATGCTTAATCACCACTACCTTGGTCAATTCCCCCTTCCTTGCTTAATCACACGTACCTTGCACAATCACCGCTTCCCTTACATATCACCCCTTCCTCGCATAATAAACCCTACCTTTTTTAATCCCCCCTTCCTTGTCGAATCAACCCAACCTTGCTGAATTCCCTCTTCCTTGCTTAATCACCCCTACCTTGATCAATCACCCCTACCTTGCTGAATCACTGATACATTGCTTGATCCCCCCTACCTTGCTGAATTTCGCCTTACTTGCTGAGCCGCCCCTTCCTTGCTTAATCACCCCTACCATGCTGAATATATACTTCCTTGCTGAATTCCCCCTACCTTGTTAAAACACTCCTACCTTGTTTAATCACCCCTACCTTGCTGAGTGCTCACTACATTGTTTAATCACCTCTACCTTGCTTCAGCACCCCTACCTTCTTGAATCACCTCTATTTTGCTGAATCACCTCTGCCTTGCATAACCACCCCTACCCTTAGTAATCACCCCTTCCTTGCCTAATCACCCTTAAATTGTTGAATTCCTCCTATCTTGCTGAAGTCACCCTATGTTGCTGAATCACCCCTAGCTTGCTTAATCACACCTACCTTGCTTAATCACCCTTGCCTTGCTGAATTTCCACAACCTTGTTCGCACACTCTTACCTTGCTTAATCACCCCTACCTTGCTGAATCCCGCCTACCTTGCTGAATCCCGCCTACCTTGCTGGAACCCCCCTTTCCTTGATGAATTGCCCCACCTTGCTTAATCAACCCTACCCTGCTGAATTCCTACTACCTTGCTGAATTCCACCTACCTTACCTAATCACCCCTACCTTGCTTAATCACCCCTACCTTGATGAATCCCCCCTTCCTTGTTGAATCGCCCCTACCTTGCTGAATCCCTTCTTCCTTGCTGAATTCTCCCAATCTTGCTGAATACCCACTCCCTTTCTGAGTCATCCCTATCTTTATTAATCATCCCTACCTTGCTAAATTCCCACTGATCAACCCTACCTTGCAGAATTCCCCCTTCCTTGGTTAATCACCCCTGCCTTGCTCAATCACCCCTACCTTGCTTAATCAACCCAACCTTGCTAAAGCCCCCCTTCCTGGTCGAAAAGGGCACCGGTCAAAAAGGGCACCGGTCGAAAAGCGCACCGGTCGAAAAAGCGCACCTGTCGAAAAGCGCACCGGTCGAAAAGCGCACCGGTCGAAATGGGCACCGGTCGAAAAGCGCTCCGGTCGAAAAGCGCACCGGTCGAAAAGGGCACGGTCAAAAAGCGCACCGGTCGAAACGCGCACCGGTCGAAAAGCGCACCGGTCGAAAAGTGCAACGGTCGAAAAGCGCACCGGTTATGAAGCGCACTGGTCGAAAAGCGCACCGGTCGAAAAGCGCACCGGTCGAAAAAGAGCACTGGTTGGAAATTGCACTGGTCGAAAAGGGCACCGGTCGAAAAGCGCACCGGTCGAAAAGGGCACCGGTCGAAAAGGGCACCGGTCGAAAAGCGCACCGGTCGAAAAGGGCACCGGTCGAAAAGGGCACCGGTCGAAAAGCGCGCCGGTCGAAAAGCGCACCGGTCGAAAAGTGCACCGGTCGAAATGCGCACCGATGGTGGGAGTTTAGACCGGATGGTGGTGGGAGTATAGATGGGTGGTGGTGGGAGTATAGACCGTGTGGTGGTGGGATTTTAGACCAGGTGGTGGTGGGAATTTGGCCAAGGTGTAGAAGGAGTTGAGACTGAGTCGTGCTAGGAGTTTAGACAGGGTGGTCGTGGTAGTTCTTTCCCGTTGGTTGTGGGAGTTTAGACCGGGTGTTGGTGGGAGTTTAGATTGTGTGGTGGTGGGAGTTTAAACCATGTGTTCGTGGTAGTTTAGACAGGCTGGTTGTGTGAATTTAGACTGATTGGTGGTGGGAGTTGAGACTTGGTGGTGATGGGAGTTTAGACCGGATGGTGGTGCAAGTTTAGACCGGGTGGTGGTGGGAGTTTAGACTGGATAGTGGTGGGAGTCTAGACCGGATGGTGGTGGGAGTTTAGACCGGGTGGTGGTGGGAGTTTAGACCTGTTGGTGATGAGAGTTTAGACCGAATGGTGTTGGGAGTTTAGAACGATTGGTGGTGGTGGGAGTTAAGACCGGATGATGGTGGGTTTTTTGATTGGGTGCTGGTGGGAGTTTAGACCGGGTGGTGGTGGTAGTTTAGACTGGGTGGTGGTGGGAGTTTAGACCAATTGGTGGAGGGAGTTTAGACCGGGTGGTGGTTGGAGTTTAGACCGGGTGGTGAGGGAGTTTAGACCGGGTGGTGGTGGGAGTTTAGACCGAATGGTGGTGGGAGTTTATACCGGTTGGTGGTGGGAGTTTAGACCGGATGATGGTGGGAGTTTGGATCGGGTGCTGGTGGGAGTTTAGACCGGGTGGTGGTGGGAGTTTAGACCAGTTGGTGGAGGGAGTTTAGACCGGGTGGTGGTTGGATTTTAGATTGGGTGGTGAGGGAGTTTAGATCGGGTGGTGGTGGGAGCTTAGACCGGGTGGTGGAGGGAGCTTAGACCGGGTGGTGCTGGGAGCTTAGACGGGATGATGGTGGGAGCTGGGATCGGGTGCTGGTGGGAGTTTGGACGGGGTGGTGGTGGGAGTTTAGACCGCGTGGTGGTGGTCATTTAGACTGGTTGGTGGTGGGGGTTTAGAGCGGGTGGTGGTGGAAGTTTAGAGCGGTTGGTGGTGGGAGTTTAGACCGGGTGGTGGTGGGAGTTTAGACCGGTTGGTGGTGGGAGTTTAGACCGGGTGGTGGTGGGAGTTTAGACCTTTTGGTGGTTGGAACTCAGACCGGGTTGTGGTGGGAGTTTAGACCGGTTGGTGGTGGGAGTTTAGACCGGTTGGTTGTGGGAGTTTAGACCGGATGATGGTGGGAGTTTGGATCGGGTGCTGGTGGGAGTTTAGACCGGGTGGTGGTGGGATTTTAGACCAGTTGGTGGAGGGAGTTTAGACTGGGTGGTGGTTGGATTTTAGATTGGGTGGTGAGGGAGTTTAGACCGGGTGGTGGTGGGAGCTTAGACCGGGTGGTGGAGGGAGCTTAGACCGGGTGGTGCTGGGAGCTTAGACCGGATGATGGTGGGAGCTTGGATCGGTTGCTGGTGGGAGTTTGGACCGGGTGGTGGTGGGAGTTTAGACCGCGTGGTGGTGGTCATTTAGACTGGTTGGTGGTGGGGGTTTAGACCGGGTGGTGGTGGAAGTTTAGACCGGTTGGTGGTGGGAGTTTAGACCGGGTGGTGGTGGGAGTTTAGACCTTTTGGTGGTGGGAACTCAGACCGGGTGGTGGTGCGAGTTTAGACTGGGTGGTAGTGGGAGTTTTGACCGGTTGGTGGAGGGAGTTTAGACCGAGTGGTTGATGGAGCTTAGACCTGGTTGTGGGGGAGTTTAGACGAGGGGGTGGTGGGAGTTTAGACCTGGTGGTTGTGGGAGATAAGACCGGGTTGGTGGTGGGTGTTGAGACCGGATGATGTTGGGAATTTGGATCGGGTGCTGGTGAGCGTTTAGACTGGGTGGTGGTGGGAGTTTAGACCGGGTGGTGGTGGGAGTTTAGACCGGGTGCTGGTGGGAGTTTAGGCCGGGTGGTGGTGGGAGTTCAAACCGGGTGGTGGTGGGATTTTAGACCAGGTGGTGGTGGGAATTTAGGCCGGGTGGTTGTAGTAGATGAGACCGAGTCGTGCTGGGAGTTTAGACTGGATGTTGGTGGCAGTTTATGTTGTGTGATGTCATCATATGCTATCACATTCTGTCTGCCTCCCATCCCATGTTTTTTCAACTTGCATGTGTGGTTTGAATGTGCAAGCATTTGTGTGTGGTGTGTTCTGGAGTTTGGGAATGTGTTTTGTGTTATTCTGTCTGAGCAGGTATTTGTGATGATAGATCTTGAGAAGATCTTTCCGACGCAACAAGAATCGCTTCAATCGGAGCAAGAACGCGAAAGCTATGAAGATTCAAAGTTCATGAGCTTGCGTTACAATTGCGGCGGTTACAAAGTGAAGTTGTGGGGTGACTTTATATGGAGTTGGGACCTTTGGGGTTGGGGAAACTTGTCACTCTACTGTAACAGCTGCAAATTGGTTGGGAACAACCAAGCTAGGTTGGCAAGGGTGGCCAACTTGGATGGATTGGTTGGGAAGGGACAAAGGTCAAAGTTGAGGTTCCTATAGGGAGGGAATCTTTGTGCTTATGGGGTTTCCTTGGTTGGGGACTCTCTTGGGACCTTCCCTCTCGTCCCTCTCTTTCTATCCCAACCTTTCTCTTGCTCCTTCTAATTCCTTGTGAGATTCTTGAACTTTGATTGAACTCTTGAGATTGAGTTAAGTTCTCCTCCTACAGCTTACCCCCTAGTGCGTCGAAAGCCATAGCGTCGCGAATACTTCATCAATCAACGTGATTCAAATTGGGAACGGTAGCTGAGATCAAGAGCTACAACATATCCAAGTTTCGCGACATTCCAACGGCTAGTGTTTTGTCGACGTCGTTTCTTGTGAAGACGACTTTTCTGTCCAGAATTTCGGATTTATATTTTGAGTAATTCTAGCTCCTAAGTTCACCTAGACTCTGTCCTTAATCCTAACAAGTGGTATCAGAGCGATATTAAGGACATTGAGAGGAGTCTACAGAAGTGTGAAGACCCTTCTAGACCCACCATGGCCTGTGGGTGTGCCTAAGTGGTGTTCTAAAGGTTGGATGTGTCTTCCGCTAAGGGGAAACTCTGCCGAAATTTCGTGGACGCCGACACTTGTGAAAATATCGAGGGAGCTGAGTGTGGACAGCAAAGGGGAGCTGAAATTCGTCATTTCTCAAGGAGAAGATGAATGAGAGAGGAGGAGATGCTAATGGAAGAGGAGCTGTAGCTGAGAAGACAAGTGAGCCGCCGCCATCAAAAGTTGAAGCTTTGGATGGCTCCAACTATGAGGAATGGAGCGGACGGATGAGGAGTGCCTTCAAACGCTACAAGCTCCTGAAGATTGCTGTTGGGGAAGAGAAGATGCCGGAAGAAGGCGAAGCACGTGAACGGTGGATTGAGAAAAGCGCGGTGCTTTTCGACCTCATTCTTCAATCGGTCAACAAGGAGATGTTCGAGCACATCAAGGATCTTGTGGAAGCGGATGATTCGGGTCCAAGGGCGTGGAAACTACTACGTGATGTGGTTCAGCCCAACACTCTCCTGATGGTGATCGTGCTCGAGAAGGAACTTGCTGCCATCTCCATGCGACCAGGGGACGATGTGAAGCCGGTCCTTGACAAGATCAAGGACACCTATGCAAGGATGGCAGCAGCGGGCAGCAGTGTATCTCAGCTGCAGCAGTGCACCAAGATCATCTCGGTGTTGGACAACTCTTGGGACAACCTCATCCCCACCCTCAACTCTCAACAAGATCAATGGACACCTGAGTGGCTAAGGCAGCAGATTCTGCAGGAGGACTTCCGCAGACGCCATGTGGGAGGCGGTGCTGCCACTAAGACTGCTGAGGGGTATGGAGCTGCAGGGCGCGGCAGAGGAAGAGGGGGTTGGAGAGGCCGAGGCCGTGGGAGGAGCTTTGGCAGAGGTAGAGGCCGAGGTGACTATAATGAGGGGCATGGGAGCTCTAGTGGCAGGGGGAGTACCAGAATGGAGGGCACCTGCTGGTACTGCAAGAAGATAGGGCATCCTTGGTTCAAGTGCTTCAGCAGGCCGGAGGGATGGGCACCTCCAGGCATGAAGCCACCCAGTGGTGAACGCGCACAAGGTGGCGCTGTGCAAGGCTCAGGTGCACAAGGTGAAGGTGCACAAGGTAATGCCTATCCTGGTTTGTTTCTTATGGTTGAGGATGTGCATGGGCATGAGGGTGATGTGGGATTTGTGGGAAAGGTTGTGATGCACCCTCTCACGCACTGGGTGATTGATTCGGGTTGCACCAGTCACATGACCCCACGGGCAGATTTGCTTGATGAGGTAAAACCCCCTGGGAAGATTAAGTATGTGGCAGCAGCGTCAGGTGCTTTGCTCCCCGTGATTGGTGTTGGGAATGCCAAGGTTAAGGGAGCTAATGGGGAGCTTGTGGGGCTTGGGAATGTTCTGCTGGTTAAAGGCTTGTCTGCTAACCTTCTCTCTGTGCGGCGGCTGCAGAAGAGTAAGGCCGAAGTGACCTTTGGACCAACCAGCTGCCGTGCTAAGCTTGGGAAGAAGGTGCTGTGGAGTCTGGAAGAGGAGACCAGCTGCATCAAGGACCTGTGGCAGCTGCCCATCATCCCTTGGAATGGGAAGACTCCAACAGCAGCAACGGCAGCAGTGGCAAAGGCAACAGCAGGAGGAGATGCAACTGCACCAACTGATGGGGTGCTGGAAGCAGTCAAGAAAGTGCAGAAGCAGCAGACACATGGTGAGGTGCTTGCTGGTGTGGATGCGAGTGCGGCATGGGCTAAGGCTTCATCAAGGAGTGGAGAGGCCGATTGGGAGACATGGCATGAGAGGTTGTGTCATGTGAACTTCCCTATGCTGCAGAAGTTGGTGAAGAATGGGAGCCTGAAGGGCTTGGAGGTGAAAGGGGAAGTGAAGGAGATTGGGAGCTGCCCTACATGCTTGGAGACCAAGTTCTCCAAGTTCCCCTTCAACAGTGCAACTGGACCATCCAAGACCCCACTTGCACTTGTGCACATGGATGTGGTGGGGCCCACAAGAGCCCCTTCCCTCTCAGGCAGCCGCTATTTCTTGACAATTGTGGATGACCACACTTGGGCAGTGTGGGTTTACCCTTTGAAGAGCAAGGGGGAGGTGGCAGCGGCTGTCCTTAAGGAGTGGATGCCGAGAGCTCAGAGGGAATGCGGACACAAGGTGAAGGTGATCCGCAGTGACAATGGTGGGGAGTTCATTGGAGCTGATTTTGAGGGGGAGTTGAAGAGGAAGGGGATCCAACATCAACTGACAGTGCCCTACAACCCGCAGCAGAATGGCGTGGCTGAGAGGTTCAACAGGACCCTGCAGGAGGGGGCACGCACTCTCCTTGGGCGTGCAGGGCTGCCTGATCCGTTTTGGGTGTCTGCACTGAGGCAGGTCGCCCTTGTGAAGAACAGGGTGCTGGCTACAGTTGGAGATAAGGAGTGGATCCCATATGTCAAGTGGTATGGGAGTGCTCCAGCTGTGAATATGCTGAGGGCATTTGGGTGCATGGTAGTGTTTCATGTGCCCAAGGAGAAAAGGGGGAAGTTGGAGGCTTCTGGAAGATGGGGTGTGCACTTGGGGATTGCAAAGGATCACAAGGGGTGGCTGCTATGGGACCTGACCACCCAGAAGTTGACAGTGTCAAGGGATGTGAAGTTTCTTGAGTCCCTGTACTACAAGGAATGGAAGCAGCAGCAACAGAAGCTTCCATCTACACCGCTCATTGTGGAGGCAGATGAGGTGCAGCAGCCTTCAAGACAGGTGGAGGTTGCAGTGTCAGAGGAGGAGATGTCTGGGGTGACTGAGGAAGGGGGAGCAGCTGAAGTAGAGCAGCAGCAGCAGCAGCAGCATGAGTCTCCACCTCGAGTTCCACACCCGCCTGAGCGTCCTAGGAGGGATGTGCGCCCTCCAGTGAGGCTGACCTATGGGGGAAGAGGCAAGCCGAATGTGGTGCAGGCTGGGAGTGTGGTTGAGCAGATTGAGGAAGATGAGATCGCTCACTGCTACTGGGCACCAATCCCTGAGCCCAAGACTCGAGAAGAGGCCTTGAATGGACCAAATGGGGAGAAGTGGAAGGCGAGTGAGGATGAGGAGTTCGGGTCCCTAATTGAGAACGAGACATGGGACCTGTGTGACTTGCCTCCTGGAAAGAAGGCAATCACTTCCAAGATGATCTACAGGCACAAGTATGGACCTGAAGGGGAGCTGACCCGCTACAAGTCTAGGCTTGTGGCACGGGGGTTTCAGCAGACAAAGGGGAAGGACTATGATGAGGTGTTTGCTCCTGTGGGGAAAGGAACAACACTGAGGGTGCTGTTGGCGATAGCTGCACTCCTGGGATGGAAGATTCGGCAGATGGATATTGTGACTGCCTTTCTGAATGGGATCATTATGGAGGAGGTGTACATGAAGCAGCCAGAGGGGCTGGATGACGGGAGCGGCAGGGTCTGCAGGCTGAAGAAGGCCATCTATGGCCTTAAGCAGGCGCCTCGTGCATGGTATCACAAGTTGGAGGAGGCGCTGTTGGCTGGGGGTTTCAAGAAGAGTGAGTGTGACCCCAGCCTGTTCCTGCTGCAGGAGAAGGATGAAATCCTCATGCTCTTGGTGTATGTGGATGATATCCTTCTCTTTTCTGCATCCACTGCTTTGCTGGACAGCGCAGAGCAGATGCTGGAGATGCAGTTCAAGTGCTCCAAGATGGGTGAGGTGAAGTACTACTTGGGGATGCACGTGGAGAGAGATGTGGAAAAGGGTGTGCTGAGGTTGCACCAGAGGAAGTACTGTGAGGGGCTGGCTGAGAAGTATGGGCTGCAAGATGGGGGAAAGCCAGCAACACCACTACCTTCAGGGTTTACTGTGGAGCCATGTGCTGATGAGGAGGTAGTGGGTGATAGTGACAGGAAGCTGTTTCATTCGATGGTTGGGTCGCTGAATTATGCTGCAAATCATACACGGCCTGACATTGCATTTGCTACATCACGATTGGCTAGTGTGGTCTCACGCCCTAGTCATGAGCAGCTGGAAGCGGCCAAGAGGTTGGTCCGCTATGTGAGCGCTACGGCATCAGTGGGATTGGAGTACAGTGGAGTGAGGCAGCGGTTGCAGAGAGGTGCTGCAGATGTGAAGAGTGGAGAGATGCTCTTGAGTTGCTATACTGACGCTAGCTTCAACTCAGTGAAAGCGGATGGCACCAGCATTGGGGGTTATGTGTGCTTGCTAGGAGGTGGTGCTGTGAGCTGGCGCAGCAAGAAGCAGAATGAGGTGGGATTGTCCTCATGTGAGACTGAGTACATGGCCTTACACCATGGGGCCAAGGAAGTAGTGTGGCTAAGGCGTTTGTTGGAGGAGTTGGGAGTTGGTCAGGAGAAGCCGACAGTTGTGTTTTGTGACAATGAGTCCGCTGTGAAGCTCGCCAAGAATGCTTGTCTGCATGGGCTGACAAAACACATAAGGCCTAAGTGGCATTGGGTGAGGAGAATCCTTGATAAGGAGGTGCGGCTGGAGATAGTGAAGACCCATCAGCAGGCAGCAGATATTTTCACTAAGCGTCTGGCGGAGGCGGATCATTGGAAGGGCATGAAGCTTGCTGGGATGAGTGTGCATTGAGTATGCATGCTTGAGATGTGGTATGGTCGATGATGGTTGGCAGCCAGAGGGGGAGATTGTTGTGTGATGTCATCATATGCTATCACATTCTGTCTGCCTCCCATCCCATGTTTTTTCAACTTGCATGTGTGGTTTGAATGTGCAAGCATTTGTGTGTGGTGTGTTCTGGAGTTTGGGAATGTGTTTTGTGTTATTCTGTCTGAGCAGGTATTTGTGATGATAGATCTTGAGAAGATCTTTCCGACGCAACAAGAATCGCTTCAATCGGAGCAAGAACGCGAAAGCTATGAAGATTCAAAGTTCATGAGCTTGCGTTACAATTGCGGCGGTTACAAAGTGAAGTTGTGGGGTGACTTTATATGGAGTTGGGACCTTTGGGGTTGGGGAAACTTGTCACTCTACTGTAACAGCTGCAAATTGGTTGGGAACAACCAAGCTAGGTTGGCAAGGGTGGCCAACTTGGATGGATTGGTTGGGAAGGGACAAAGGTCAAAGTTGAGGTTCCTATAGGGAGGGAATCTTTGTGCTTATGGGGTTTCCTTGGTTGGGGACTCTCTTGGGACCTTCCCTCTCGTCCCTCTCTTTCTATCCCAACCTTTCTCTTGCTCCTTCTAATTCCTTGTGAGATTCTTGAACTTTGATTGAACTCTTGAGATTGAGTTAAGTTCTCCTCCTACAGCTTACCCCCTAGTGCGTCGAAAGCCATAGCGTCGCGAATACTTCATCAATCAACGTGATTCAAATTGGGAACGGTAGCTGAGATCAAGAGCTACAACATATCCAAGTTTCGCGACATTCCAACGGCTAGTGTTTTGTCGACGTCGTTTCTTGTGAAGACGACTTTTCTGTCCAGAATTTCGGATTTATATTTTGAGTAATTCTAGCTCCTAAGTTCACCTAGACTCTGTCCTTAATCCTAACAGTTTAGACCAGTTTTTGGAGGGAGTTTAGACCAGGTTGTGAGGGAGTTTAGACCGGGTGGTGGTGGGAGTTTAGACCGGGTGGTGGAGTGACTTTAGACCAGGTGGTAGTGGGAATTTAGACCGTGTCGTGGTGGGTGTTTAGACCGGTTGGTGGTGGGAATTTAGTCTGGGTGGTGGTAGAAGTTTAGACCGGGTGGTGGTAGTAGATAAGAGCGGATGGTGGTGGGAGTATAGACCAGGTGGTGGTGGGAGTTTAGACCCGATGGTGGTGGGAGTGTAGACTGGGTGGTGGTGGGAGTATAGACAAGAGGTGGTCAGATTCAAGACCGAGTGGTGGTGGGATTTTAGACCCGGTGGTGGTGGGTTTTTTTATTGGGTGGTGTTGGGAGTTTAGACTGGGTGGTGGTGGGAGTTTAGACTGGATGGTGGTGGGAGTTCATACCGTGTGGTCGTGGGTGTTTAGACGGGCTGGTTGTGGGAGTTTAGACTATGTGGTGGTGGGAGTTTAGACGTGGTGGTGGTGGGAGTTTTGACCTGGTATTGGTGGGAGTTTTTTTTGGATGGTGAAAGGAGCTAAGATTGGGTGGCTGCTATACCTCCTGCCAGTCAAACCACCATAGCGTCGTCAAATCTTCATGGAAGTTCATGATTAACCTTGCTGCAGACAAACGACAGCAACGCACCCGAGATCACCGTTTCAGCTAGCGAGCAGATCGTTATCAATATTTGAAGCCGTCTGACGGAAATCCGACTGTGCTCTCAATCTCATTTTAGGCACATTTGAGCCTATTGTGATTATAACAAGTGGTATCAGAGCCCCTTGGAGCCGTCTCGACCATGCCTAGACCTGAGGAAGGGGGTGGCAGAGGTGCTGGAGGCAGAGAAGACGCCCAAGCACAAGGTCAACACCAAGATCCACCCGTTGCTCCGGTGCAACCTAGCCTTGGACCCTCTAGGGATGAGCCTAGAGTGTTTGGCCTTGACAAGTTCAACGGTGACAACTATGCTGTGTGGTCCTTCAAGATGGAGAACATCTTTGACCACTATGATCTGCTGGAGGTGATGGAAGGAACGGAGAACCGCCCCGAGAACGACCCGGAGAAGAGCCCGTGGGTGCGGAAGTGCGCACAAGGCTACCTTCTACTTGGGCAAGCGTTGGGGAGCAGCCAAATCCATCACATCAGTCATTTTCAGCGTGAACCAGCAAAGGGACCAAAGGCATGGGCTGCTCTCAAGGGTGTACACGCTCCTGCAACAGCGGCGGTGGCTGTGGTTTTGGAGCGGCAAATGGCGGCACTTCGAATTGACGAAGGCGAACCGGTGGAGGAAGGAGTGTAGAAATTCCTAATTTTTTCATGCGTGGTTAGTGTATGGGCTCAAGAGCATGCTGGCCTGTGCTCGGATGCAAAACCCAGGTGTGTGGGAAGTTATGGTATCTCAAGCGTTTTCGCATGTCCAAGTTCTTGAGTGGTACCCCACGAAACAACAACCTGTTTTTTCATTTAGGATCTTGTTCACTAAAACTCTTTCCATTTGCATACATAGCTAGTGTATGGCCTCAAGAGCATCATGGCTTGTGCTAAGATCCAAAATCCAAGTGGTTGGGAAGTTATAGTATGTCAACTATTGTCCCATGACTAAACACTTGAGCACTGCCCAACAAAACCTCAACTTTCATTTTGTTTTCAGATACAAAGCAATTTCTAAGCCCTTGGTTTGCAGGAACAGTTAGTGCATGGGCTCAAGATTATCGTGGCTTGTGCTCAGATCCAAAACCTAAGTGTGCAAAAAGTTATGGTATTATATGTGTTCCTTTTTCCAGTAATTGAGCATTTCCCTACAAGAACTCAACTTGGTTATCTTGCTATTGAGAGTGCTCAAACATCTTGCTTTTTCCATGCATGGTTAGTGTATGGGCTCAAGAGCATGCTGGCCTGTGCTGGGATGCAAAACCCACGTGTGTGGGAAGTTATGGAATCTCAGGCATTTTTGCATGTCCAAGTTCTTGAGTGGTACCCCACCAAACAACAACCTGTTTTTTCATTTAGGATCTTGTTCACTAAAACTCTTTCCCTTTGCATACATAGCTAGTGTATGGCCTCAAGAGCATCATGGCTTGTGCTCAGATCCAAAATCCAAGTGGTTGGGAAGTTATACTATGTCAACTATTGTCCCATCACACAACACTTGAGCATTGCCCAACAAAACCTTAACTTCTCATTTTGTATTTCAGAGACAAAGCAATTTCTAAATCCTCGTTTTGCATGAACAGTTAGTGCATTAGCTCAAGACAATTGTGGCTTGTGCTCAGATCCAAAACCTAAGTGTGCAAAAAGTAATGGTATTGTATGTGTTCCTTTTTCCAGTACTTGAGCATTTTCCTACGAGACCTCAACTTGGTTATCTTGCTATTGAGCGTGCTCAAACATCCTAATTTTTGCATGCGTGGTTAGTGTATGGGCTCAAGAGCATGCTGGCCTGTGCTCGGATGCAAAACCCAGGTGTGTGGGAAGTTATGGTATTCCAAGCGTTTTCGCATGTCCGAGTTCTTGAGTGATACCCCACCAAACAACAACCTGTATTTCATTTAGGATCTTGTTCACTAAAACTCTTTCCCTTTGCATACATAGCTAGTGTATGGCCTCAAGAGCATCATGGCTTGTGCTCACATCCAAAATCCAAGTGGTTGGGAAGATATAGTATGTCAACTATTGTCCCATCACCAAACACTTGAGCATTACCCAACAAAACCTTAACTTTTCATTTTGTTTTTCAGAGACAAAGCAATTTCTAAACCCTTGGTTTGCATGAACAGTTAGTGCATTAGCTCAAGATAATTGTGGCTTGTGCTCAGATCCAAAACCTAAGTGTGCAAAAAGTTATGGTATTGTATGTGTTCCTTTTTCCAGTACTTGAGCATCTTCCTATGAGACCTCAACTTGGTTATCTTGCTATTGAGCATGCTCAAACATCTTGCTTTTTGCATGCGAGGTTAGTGTATGGGCTCAAGAGCATACTGGCCTGTGCTCGGATGCAAAACCCAGGATTGTGGGAAGTTATGGTACTGTATCTCAAGTGTTTTCGCATGTCCTTGTTCTTGAGTGGTACCCCACCAAACAACAACCTGTTTTTTCATTTAGGATCTTGTTCACTAAAACTCTTAAGCATTGCCCAACAAAACCTCAACCTTTCATTTTGTTTTTTCAGAGAAAAAGCAATTTCTAAGCCCTTGTTTTGCATGAACAGTTAGTGCATGGGCTCAAGATAATCGTGGCTTGTGCTCAGATCCAAACCTAAGTGTGCAAAAAGTTATGGTATTAAACGTGTTCCTTTTTCCAGCACTTGAGCATCTTCCTACGAGACCTCAACTTGGTTATCTTGCTATTGAGTGTGCTCAAACATCCTAATTTTTGCATGCGTGGTTAGTGTATGGGCTCAAGAGCATGCTGGCCTGTGCTCGGATGCAAAACCCAGTTGTGTGGGAAGTTATGGTATCTCAAGCGTTTTCGCATGTCCAAGTTCTTGAGTGGTACCCCACCAAACAACAACCTGTTTTTCATTTAGGATCTTGTTCACTAAAACTCTTAAGCATTGCCCAACAAAACCTCAACCTTTCATTTTGTTTTTTCAGAGAAAAAGCAATTTCTAAGCCCTTGTTTTGCATGAACAGTTAGTGCATGGGCTCAAGATAATCGTGGCTTGTGCTCAGATCCAAAACCTAAGTGTGCAAAAAGTTATGGTATTGTATGTGTTCCTTTTTCCAGCACTTGAGCATCTTCCTACGAGACCTCAACTTGGTTATCTTGCTATTGAGTGTGCTCAAACATCTTCTTTTTGCATGCGTGGTTAGTGTATGGGCTCAAGAGCATGCTGGCCTGTGCTCGGATGCAAAACCCAGTGTGTGGGAAGTTATGGTATCTCAAGCGTTTTCGCATGTCCAAGTTCTTGAGTGGTACCCCACCAAACAACAACCTGTTTTTTCATTTAGGATCTTGTTCACTAAAACTCTTTCCCTTTGCATACATAGCTAGTGTATGGCCTCAAGAGCATCATGGCTTGTGCTCAGATCCAAAATCCAAGTGGTTGGGAAGTTATAGTATGTCAA